GGTTTTGAGGGGGGGGGTAGCATACATTTATATACATACCCCATCAAACTATGCAAGAGATAGTGGCTATGGTTCGTTTGAGGAAGTTGCGCGACTGGCGGCGGAGCGCGAGTCTTCTGCGCAACAGATTCAGCAACTTCAGCTTCAGCTGGAGGAGGCCCATGCGCCCTAGACCTGAGGAACCCCCCCCAAGTACCCTTAAATGGGGTAGATTAGTAGTGCCCTTAGTTGGGGTTATATGGCCCCTAAGAGAGGGTATTTGGGCCTGTATAGAGGGTACTTACTGTAGTTGGAGGGTCTAGGGCCTAAGCTCATGTTGAGGAGCTTTGGCTTTATAGGATTTCTTGGGTTTGGGGCACAAAGCTCCCTGTCTAACAACCCATCCTGGTTAGTTTAGGCTTGGGTTTCGCGATGTGGGCTTAGTAGGACGCCGTGCTTGCGCTTGAGGACTGGGAGCCTGGGGTTTAGAATTTCGGGTTTAGGGTTTTGGGGTTTGGTCGGGGTTGTTAACTGTTAGGTTCAGTGTTTGGATTTAAGATGTAGGAGTAGGGGTGTAGGGTTTAGGCCCAAAGAGACCACACAGATGAAGGGTCATTGCATATGCATGTGGAGCTTCTACAGGCTCTATACGGCCTTTGCATCTTGCAGGGGCTTAATGTGTAGTCATGGGATTTATCAGCCGATTCCACCATGATCAGAACGAACCTGCGCACACAGGCAAGTGCCTCAAGATCGATCCCTTCCGGGTCCCCATGAAACGAAAGCTTCCCACTTCCAGAACCTGCATACTGTCTCATCGAGTTTAGGTGCCTTTGGGATCCCTAGCTTACCACCATGTGCTTCGAATTTGCCATGTCGACCCTGTTCTCGTGTGCGCCCTTTCGGATCCTTTTGAGTGGCAGATGGGTTCAGCAGTTACGTTGCAAATTATGCCAGGGTGCCGCAGTATTCCTGCTACCCCACTCCTAAGTGGATTCCTAGCACAAGTAAGAATCCAACGAGAGGCTCTTCGCTCAGGGGGGCAAAGCGCCGAGCAGCATGAACGGCTGCAGGCCCTTCTGCTTTCATGCAAGAACCATCAGTAGCATCCTAATGGAAGGAAGCCAAAACTGCATTATCAAGATGAACGCTTCGAGAGCCACCAAGGTGGGATGTCGCAGGATGATGATTTTGATAGGTCTTTTTGACGAAGACAGTTTCCCATAAGTCGGAAGATCCGCAAAGCTCTTTTGTGGTAGTTTCACTACAGGGTCCTTCGCGCGGGATCATGCTGTAAGGCGCCTCCATGCTGTTGTCTTTTTAAGGGTCCTACTTTTCAGATATGGCCAGCTGAGAACTTGTTAAGCTTGGCTGAACAGCATCGAATTGTAGCGGCCAAACGCCCTTGGAGGAGGTAATCAATCTCCAGCCCCACACGTAATGCAGGGGCCAAGTTGATTCGAACAGGGCCGGTGGCCAACATTATTGTTCCTTCTATGGCTACCCGGCTACCCATCAATATTAAGGGACGTTTAGGAATACGAGATGCATAATGCAGTTGCTCAGGCTTCGACGTCAACCTGAAGCTTCAACACCACAAACGCTGAAGCCCCCATCTCAAACGTCAAAAGCCTCAGGATACGAAGCGGTTAAGATTCAAACGAAAGTTCCTCATTTCCCCATACAACTCCCACAGAGCAAGGTCTCCCACTATGTCTCCATGGCGTTCCTTCGTGAAAGTAATTCCATTTGTAGACCTAAACCCTAAACCCTAGACCCAGATATGAGGCATCCTTAGAGGAGGAAGGGCGGCAAAAGGAGGAGCACAGGCAGCTGGCTGCCTCCTTCCAGGACCTGATTTCTTTGGGCTTGTGGGTTTGCATGGCTTTGGATTCGCCGATAACCCCCATTACCTTTAGCTTAGTAGTAAGAAGCCCCTCACGAGTAGGTATTACCCTTAAAGCTGGGGTCACATGTGGGGTCTAGGGACTCAGCGTTTCGGATTTAAGGGCTTAGGTGCGCTGATTTCGGGTACAAGGAGTATTGCTTGTCAACATGATGGCCTCTTGGGCATCCTTGACAGCATGACCCGTACCCAGACAAGGGTGCACATAACATCCTACGCCGAAGTAAGATGAAGTTGCCCCCGGCCCCAGCCACATCAGGAACAGGAATGCTCAGTGGCAAAGGTCAATTACAGCACCGCTGTTCGCGTTTTGCGAAAACCTTACTTTAAGCCGTGAAGCAACGGTTGATGGATGAAATCTTGCTCCATGTGGGAACTCCACAGCACTGTAGTTCGCCGGGTATAGGGTATAAGATTTCCTCCATCCACAGATGGACCCCAGGGGCAAGCCCATTTTGCAAGCATTAGTGCGCGTTCTCAGTCTTAATCGTATGTCGGAGAGTTGAGGGTTGTCAAGGTTGCATTCAATGTCTGAATAAGAGCAACATCGTTCCCCACATTTGGTAAGCTTTTTCTTTTTGCATCTGGACTATACCCCATCAGGTCGATTAGTGCTCAGAATCTCTTGTTAGGTTTGGGGCCATGATCTTACTGGCTTCAAGTAGAGGAGGGAGCAGTGCACCTTTTTAGTATCACTCCCCATTCCTAACGACCAGCAAGTTAGACTTGGTAGTTTCCTAAAATAGGGGGACCCAAATATAGAACCTAACATACTATAGTCCTTACCATTGGGACACCCTAAACCCTAAGTTATATAGTCTCATATGACCTCATATATAGGCCCTATATAGTCCCAATATACCTAATTTTGGGACACCCCTTGAGCGGCCCTGGACAGGAGCAGTGTGCTTCTCTCACGAAGCAGCTGTCAGATCTTCAAGCAGCGCATGAGGCATCTCTAGCAGCCCAGGTGGGGCTTCAAAGCGGGGGGGGTTATATAGGGGATTATGGGGGACTATTATAGGGGTTATTAAGGGGGATACTATGAGTGTAGACTATAGCTCATATCATTTTGAGGGTCCCCGTATGAAGGATTATCGTATTTGGGGGTCTATATTTAGGTCCCCCTGTTGAGGGAAACTACGGTAAAGGTAGAGCTTTTGACTGCTTAGGATGACAATAAGCGGGTTGGGTCAGAATTCATGACCTTGGACACCCCCACCCTTCCTGAAATTAATGTGCATTGCAGGTGCCCAAACAGAATGGAGGGCGTATTAGTGGCTTTGGGCGCAAAGCGTTACAGAAGGGTTCTTCTCAATACGTACAACACAAAGCAGGCAGGAAGGAGCCATCCAACTGAGATCTAAGGTTGATCTAAAGGTCTTTTTGGGAAATCATTTGAGCCATAGTCTAAACTCCTTAACGCGGGTTATATAGAGGCGATTAAGGGGAATACTAGGAGTTTAGACTATAGCTCATTTAGGTTTTCTGTAGGATTGTACTGGAAAATATGGGAGAACTTGTTTTCCATGCTGGCCATAGCATTTTGATCAGCGACTATTTGCTGGCAGGTTCCCAATGGTGCCGCAGACGCCGCGCAAGAAGCTCTCTCACAGCAGGCTTGTTCCCAGTGGTTCGAAGCTTTTGGGAGTAGTCTGAGCGGTAGGGGACCTAAATAGTGGTCTCCATATTATTTTCCATTATCCCAATATATCCCCTATATATCCCCCATAAAGCCCCTAAACCGTAAACCCAGGTCAGGCAGCTGCAACAACAGCTCTCAGACGCAGTTGCTATGGCTACGCAAAGCAACGAGCAAAATCAGCAGCTGCCACTTGGTAGGAGTTTGACTTCAAGGGGTGTTGGGGCCTAGGGTCTAAGAGTCTAGGACTCATATGGATTTTAATGCTATTCCTACAGGCTAGCCCCCCGGGCTTGGGATTAGGGAATAGACCCTGCCTGAAGAGGGCAGAAGTCATGAAGCTTCTGTTTGATGTGAGGGTTAGCATGGGGCAGGGTATTCCTCTTTGCTTCTTCTAGAACTTGAGTATAAGACTTAGACCTTCGTCAAGGTGGCTCTTTTAGGGTTTCGTGTCAGTTTGGGGGAGTGTATGTTTCAGCCTTGAACGGGACCTACCAGCTGGACATTCTGGGGCGTCCCCTTTGGGACTTGCATGCAATCTGCGGAATTTATGTTGAAGAATGTCAGAAAGTTTGCTTAGAAGGGTTTAGGGAGGTTTGGGTTGAATCCTACCCTAGACCTTCCCTGCACAGAAAAAAAAACGTCTAAACCTACACCCACTACGACAAGTTAGGCCTAGATACTCTGCACCAAGCCCGACACGGTTAAGGGTTCAGCCTGAAACCCTACGCTACACCGTTCTAAGCTTCTCCAACTGAAGCCATACGTTCTCTGAAGCCCTTTGATCCCAGTTTCCATTTCATTCTTTTCCATTTGGTTCTTGGAACTCTTGGGGCAACAACCCTATACATTGGGTACTGCCCCCCCTCAGTAAAAGTTGGATAATAATTATAATATGGTTATATATAGCCCTTAATAGGACCCCAATATAGACTGTTACTGGGTGGGGGCAGTACCCAACCTATACATCCCTATATAACTCGCTTCGGGGGGGTCATTTTCTTGTCCTGTGACGCTGCTAAGCTTTGCAGCCTAAACTGAAACCCAACATACCCCCTAAACCCTAAAACCCAAAAACCTTAAGCCCTAAAACATTAAAAAATCTAAGCCCTAACCCCTAAAACCCTAAAACCCTAAGCCCTGAAGACTTGACTGCATGATGCATGTGCATGAAGACTGGTTTTTCGCCTCCGCAGCCGTTTTGCTGTAACCTCAAGCAGCTAACGTACACGCAACGCTTGACATGGAGCTCTTGGCCACTGCTCCTGACGACGTCAAACTATGGACGGCTCTGCTGGGCCTGCTGCTCTTGGCTGGCATGTGGCTGACCAGACAAGTGTGCAGGTGCCGCCGTGCCCAGCCACCGGAGCCCGCACCGAGCAGCAGTGAGGGTCAAATGCAGCTGGATGCACTCATCTCGGATGCACGACGAGCACTTGCAGACCTCTTGGAGGCAACGCTGACAGCGGTGCAGGAAGGGGTGAGCAGCAACCTGACAACTGCCATCAACAGTGCCTTTGAAGACAAGCTGGCGCCCTCCTTGAAGACGTCTCTGGAGAAACTGGGGAAAGCAGTTGGGGCCATCCACGGGCTGGCCAAGGACGGGTTCCCAGAGGCCAAACAAACTGTACTGGCAGGCGTTGAGCAACTCAGGACGCTCATCTCCGACAACCAAACGGCCCTTTCCACGGCTGTTGACTCCATGGCGCAAGCCACCAAGGAGATCCTGGAGAAGATGACGGAGATGGGCAAGTTCTTCAATGGACATGTCAATGACCTCCACAAACACGTTGGCGGGATAGTGGGGGAAATCCTCCACCTTGTCAAGCCTATGCCCGGAGTGGTAGTGGCCGTGAAGAACCTGTGTGAGAAGGGACTAGCCCAGACCGCAGAGTTGAAGAAGCCGGTCATGGAGTGTGCCACGGTCTGCCAGGACAACAAGCAAATCCTCCGGCGGATGCGGGAGGAGCTGACAGCCTTGGCTGAGCAGATGAGCAGCCTGCACAGCAAAATGGACAGCCTCTGTGAGGCTGTGGCTGAGCTCCGTGAACGTGTCCCGGAACGACCTCCGCTCCGACAGCCTCCAGCGACTGCAATGCAGACCAGTCCACCTACCTCGTCGCCGATGCCCACAGTGCAGCCAGTGCACTTCAGCATAGCGGACCACTTGGCCGCGCCTGGAATGGCGCCTGCGCAGCAGCCGCTCCCGACCGGGCCGAGCCCGAGCGCAGAGGTCCTTTTGCAGCAGGCTATGCTGCTAATGCAGCAACGACGCCACTAAGTGGCATCCTGAGAAGCGTCGCTTCAAGCTAGTGCCGTAACTACTGCATGTTGCATGTGCATGACCTGCCTGTGCATGATGAATTCATGCCCTGCTGGATGCCACCTCATTCAGCTTCGGCTTGGGTGAGTAAGCCCCCCTTCGTCCTGTAAGCAATCCTCTATGGGTTTTGTTATGTAACTGGGCTTCTGACCTGAGAGTCTGGTTTGCATGAACTGCATGTGCGGAATTTGCAATTCGAGCAGTGGAGTGACTACGTTTTTCAGCCTGCATCTTGCATGACCTGCATGTGCGGAATTTGCAATTCGGAATAGAATTAGGAGGAATTAGGTAGAGTATAGAATTTACTGCGGCATGTTTTTGCACTAGCTGTATGATACTTCAGCCTTACCTGCCTGAATGGGTGAACCAGTGCAGCACAGACAATGCAGGCGTAAGCCCTGTCGGATCTCTGCAAGCCCTGGCAAAAACTGTCCTCTGCAGCTCCTCCGTCTCTGCACCTGTCCACCCACTGTTTCACCAACTCACAACGCCCACCCGACACGCACAACCACTGTGTGCCACCCGACACCCACCACTACACAGGCCTACAGAGCGAGAGTGATAGAGGTGCAATGAGGGACCGCCGGTGAGAGGAGAGTCACCAGCCACTACCACTCCACCAGGCACGGTGCAACAGAGTGGTGCTGCTGACTGATGCCGTGAGCTGTTGAACTGCTGCGACCTGCGTTGCCTTGCACTGCTGATGGTGGTGCTGTGCCATGCTTCTGCTTGCTATGCGCTGCAGTGGGCGCAGTGATGTAGGGACCTTTCATATACTACACCGTTCTTTTTGGGTGACCCTGAAAACCCTACAACAGCAACAGCGCCGGCCAGCACCGCCATGGCCTCTGACTCAGCTCGTACGGCTGGGCTTCGTGCGCGATCGCCCTTGCGAACTGGAAACCACTGCTGACAGTGCTGTCGTGCTGCAGACAGACAACCTGCTGACTGGAACTGGTAGATTGCTGCATGCAGATTACTTGCGGAGCTGCATGGGAATTGGCTGCAGTTTGGCAGCTTGTGGCTGCGCTTACCTACTGCGAGACTGCCTCAGGAACTGCATGAGGTTGGAAGTTGGCTGTGAATTTGGAATTTGGAATTCAATGGCTGAGCCTAGCCGCTGCATGAGAAGAGGTTCAAGGCTGCTGCATGCCGCTGTGCAGCTTACTTACGAATTTGGAGTTCGGAATTCAATGGCTGAGCCTAACTGCTGCATGAGAGGATGGGTTCAAGCTTGGCACGGGTGCATGACGCAGCGACAGCAGCTGCTTCTTGCTGAACTTGTTACAGTGGAGAAAGCTGCTTGCACGGTGGGAATTCAACAGCTTGCAGGAATGTGCGTGAATTGGACAGCTGGAACGGGCATGTGGACGAGGTATACTGTGCTGGAAGTTTGTTTGCTCCTGAAGGTCTACTGAGGGGCGTGTGGTAGTGTCTGGACTAGGTAGTGAAGTTAGCCTGTGGTGAGCCTGTAGCTGGCTGAGTCCTAGTCTAGACGGTAGTGTGTTGCCGACCTGAACGTTTGTCGCCGTGCTTGCATGTGTGCGATGCGCGTGTCTAAAACCCCAAAACCCTAAAACCTTAAACTTTAAAACCCTAAAACCTGAAACCCTAAAACCTTAAACCCTACAACCAAAGCACCAAACCCTACGGAGCCGGGCCGCTGCTGAGCTTCATGTTTTGTGCCTGGCGGAAGTTCCCATTGCTTTGGGGCGGTTTTGGGGCTTAGGGTTTAGGG